GGTGTACCGGGCATTGCTGTAGCATACATTGCACCATGAGGGAAAGCTTTCGCTAAGCCCAAGTCCGCAATCTTTGCATGCATCGATTTCGTTAGTAGAACATTTTTGCTTGCCAAATCACGATGTACGATCGGTTCTTTACGGGAGTGCAAGTAATACAGAGCTTCAGCAACGTCCAGCATGATTTTGATCACTTCCGAGAAGGGCACTTTCGGTTTGCTTTCCGATTCTCGAAGGTACTTCGCCAAGTCGCACTCCAACAATTCAGTGACAATGATCGGCGTCTCCGGAGCAGGAGGCAGAATTACAGTGTAATACTGCACAATGTTGTCGTGCTGAAGGCTGCGAAGTATCTCCCACTCCGATTTAAACTTTTCCAAGAAAGCGGCTCTGATGCTGCCATCGTGATCTCCTTCGAAGAAGATAGGGCGAATTCGTTTGGCAGCGACTTGCTTTCCACACCACACGGCCTTGAAGACCTCGCCGTACGATCCATCGCCGATTTTATCTCCTAGTTTTATCTCCTCAACTGAAGATGTGTTCCCCATGTCTATGTACAAGACAGAAGTGATTCTTCCACGTAAACGCTGGACTTTGGATGGTCTAGTGGATCAAATTCCTTATCAAGCAAAATGTTGATTTATCCCGGAAGTGCTGTTTTCCCAGTAACCAAACGCTCGTTCCCAGTCCAAATCGTTTCTGAAGTTGCACACTGAACTTACAATTATGATGAGCGCGCGTAAATCGATGCAAATTTCAAACGACAATTCAATCCGCGGGTGATCTTATTTGAAGTAAATATATTCATTCAGAAGATTAATCGTTGTCTGAAGTTGCTCAATGAACTAATAGCGTCAAATCGTGGTAAGACCCAAAAAAGTGGCACACGAGTATGCCACTGAAGTTTTAACCACATTTTGACGTCGGAATCTTTTTGTTTTAGGGCCTGTTTACAAGGAGAAAGGGTTCCGCTACCAAACGGATTACCCTAACAAGCGGGTTACCCTAGCACTCACACATTTCCTCTTTTTTTCTTCGGTTAACTCTTTCCCTTGTATACACTCCAGGTAGGGTTAAATTTTGCTTGTAAACCAGGGCCGTCTTTTGCTCCCCAGTTAGGATTAACCCGCTTGCTAAGGTAACCCTCCCTCCTTGTAAACAGGCCCTAATAAAATGACAGAATAATAGGCCATTTCCGAGTTACCTTGTGCCTCTGTTTCAAAACGAGTCTTCATGCAAAACCGTTCATATGAAAAGGAGTTTGATTTGCATGACAATAAACATGTAAGGGAACACATTTTCATATGAATGGTTTTGCACGAAGGCTCGTTTTGACACAGATCTAGAGGAAAAAGGAAACTCGGAAATGGCCTATTCGACAAATCATGTAAAACCTCATTGAAATATCTCGCTCTAAGCTAATGATGAAGGAACAGTATACGACGTCGTATTAAATTGTTCTTCAAAAGCTAAAAAGGAAGAAGCTTCTGTACGTCCCATTTGAAGGAAAAGATTTTACAGCTATATAACCTACAGGATTTGGAATAATCTGTGATCTTCGCCTGTTCAATCAAGTTCACTCTGGTAAAAATGTACGAAGCGCCATTGGCCAGCATCTGCATAAACTAAGACCAAATCGGCAACTTTGTTGGATTCAGTTGAAAACGCTGGAAGCAGTTAAATTAGATGCAGACAGCCATTGTTCTGCTTCATTCTGCTCATTAAACCTTTCCATTGCCCTCGTCGTGGTGGTTTGTGTTGACGTTTGAGCGCTTAAAAAACGACGACGCCCAGTAAATCACAATTATTTCCTATTCCGAAAAGAAATGGAGTTCTTAATCCTAGAGGGAATGTTTTTAATGTAGCGAAAGAAAATCTGACAACACAAGCGATAACACTGAATTTAACATGACAGTTTTGAGGACTTTACAAAAAAAGCGAGTACATTTTAGTCAAGACGAAGGGAATTAATTAAGGGGAGGGGAAAGATTACGCCCGACAGCGCGATGAAGATCCGGAAGGTAGGATATCTCAACTACTTTTGAGAGTGGTCTTAGCTCCAGTTATAGTCTTAGATCAAATGATAAAATCCTTTAAAAGCCTTCTGCTATCAAGACTCTTGCTACTCTTGTGAAGATAGGGCTTCTATGGCCGTAACACCAAGACTCTATCTGGAACACGTTTCCTCAACAACTTGACTCGCCTACTTCATTTAAAATGGTTCTAAAAACATTTTCTTTTCTCGATATTCGATATTGTGAAGTTCATTTCAAAACGGTGGCTACAGTGCGCGTTCTGAGGCTGAAAGCTTACCCTTACACCCCCACTCAGTCAATACTGAAGCTCATACCCGCGCGAACTTCATCATACCCGCTCTAATGGCTCTGTCAATTCCAAGCCCCTCCATCCCCCGGGAATTTGACATCTCCCTCCCTGGGGTAGGGCATTTGCTATAACAGGCCAGTCCCGAATTANACTGAAGCTCATACCCGAGCGAACTTCATCATACCCGCTCTAATGGCTCTGTCAATTCCAAGCCCCTCCACCCCCCGGGAATTTGACAACATCTCCCGCCCCGGGGTAGGGCATTTCAGTGCTATAACAGGTCAGCCCCGGATTAGGTCACTTTCATTAGTTACATGACTTGCAAACACCGAGGTTATCAGGTTGTTTGTGAACAATCATTGCTTCCAGTGTCAATCAGAAAATAGAATTCTGACCTTGAATTATGGGTCGCGCTTTCGCATTCTTCCGAAACTCCACTGTGGGGATTTGCACCGATATTCTAGCTCAGTGCGGGGCATTTGCAACATTTTTTTCAAAATAGTTACAATTGTCCGACAAATGCCTGGGGGAAGGAGGGGCTTGCAATTGACAGCGGCATAAGTAATAACTTCATTATTATAAAGTGACAATGTGTCAGCGTATTTCCCGGAGGGATGCTCCACAATGTTTTACACGGGGAGGCTCCGCCTCGAGGTACAAAGCCGTACCCTTCTATATACTATTGTTGACATAATGTTACCTTCCATTTACGTTCCATAGAAAATGGTACTCCTTTCACATACCTAGAGCGACCCTAAAAAAATCGTGCAGGAATCTTTCTACCCCACAAAAAAGGTGTATCAGAAAATATCTACCTTAAAAAGTCCTCACATCCTCCGTTAAAAGGAATACCCCCCGATTGCATTGTAACCAATATATGTACGAGTTGGTCAAAGTTTGGGAAGCTTATTTCATTTAAAAGTTTCTTTAAAACATTACTTTTTTCAAAGACATCGCCAAAGACAATCCCTGGCGCAATACATTATTTTCGTTTTGCAATCTTTATACAAATACTAATTCACTTAGCCTACCCAGCCTATGGAAGGGTTTATCTAAAACGTTCAGGAGATCGTTTCCAATAAATGCTTGACAGATCTATACATAATACTGTAGTAGGAACAAATGCTTGCTAGAAGAAATAGTTTGAAAAAAACTTCAACGCCTGAAGTACCCTGTGTCCACTATTTACAGAATTAAAGAATTCCTTCGACAAACGCCAGTGAAGACGAGGATACTGTGTAGTACGTAAGCACCTCGGTTTTTCTAGTAGCAGGTGTCGAAATTAGCCACACTCTGGACTGCTGCTGTAGAAGTATTGGTCAACAGACAGAAGTATTAGTCCTTATCGTTTTCGTCCGGTTACCTGCTGCCAGCCTCCTTCCTGGTCAGGATAAGGACGCCGACCAGCCATCCTGATAAAAACGACAGGAAAAGAAATATGATGTACACACACAATGGCTAACTCTATTTGAGTGTTATTATAAAGCTCTTTCCTTCTCTTCCTTTCGAAAGCAACCGCCGAAATAAATTCGATAACCTTTGAAAATCCCCCTTAAAATGTCTAAAGTTGCAGACGTTGTAAACAATTTCAATCCAAATCTCGCAAAAATAAAATCGCTAATAAAATGGATGATTAAATACCTACGGCATTGTTAGAATTGGGGGTGCAATGGTACATTGCAGAGTGATGTTAACATTAACATCTCTAAGACTGGTGTACCACCTCCACGCGGTAAGCCCTAGTAAACTAGCCACCCTGAGGTGCCAGGCTTAATTGCACTGGATTTTGGAATAGCAAGGGCCCTAGAGCTTTGGTGCAGAGGGCATCCTGGACAGACCCAGGCGCCCAGTATCCTTGCCCAGTCGTGGAGAAATGGCCACGGAGTGAAACCTTTCAAAAAATCGCTAACCATGGGTCAATTTGTATGGAGCTGCCTGCTGCGCTTCATGGGCGGATGATGGAAACTTGTTCCACAACGGCCAAGACAGGGACAATATTCCATCAGTCAAACAGCCAAAGCCGAGGAAGCCCTCTACAACCGGTAATCAGGTAGGGCGGGGGTTATACGCCGGGATAGCAGCCGGACCACGGGAAAACGTTCTTGCTACAGAAACCATATGGCCTTATGTCCCAGCCGGGACGATGAGGATGAGTGAGTAAGTGTTGTGTTGTGTTAGAACGACTACACAATTCGTGACAGCTGTACTATAAGATTGACACCCTGTCCTCGCCAATACAACATTTAGAAAAATATGAACACACAATAATAAGTTAATTTAACGTCCTAAGCAAACTCGAATACTTACGGATTTGGTGAAACCCCGGCCGCGGTTGAGACATGTGGAGAGCGGTTTGGAGAGACATGTGCATGAGTGAGAGGATTGAATGGTCCAAAATTGGGTTGACCGGATAAGAACACTTCGTGAGGGCTCCTGGGCAATAGGCGCGGATCAGCTAGACTGGAATGATAATTACCCTGAAAGAAGCAGATAAAAGTTAATCATATTGGAGTTCGATTCAGTGATACCTTTATATTATTGTTGCATCGAAAGCATGCCTCGCACCATCCTTAATAAAACCATCCAGTTAAGAATGCAGTGTGAAAGTTGGACGCTGCAGGTGACGTGATTCCACTGCCTTTGTGTCCTGGTGAAAAATCGTATCTTTCTTAGGGTTTAGGGTAAAATGAAACGCAGTCCGAAAGAGAAGCGAGCCAATATCTTGTGCGTCAAGAACGATCCCGTTTCCGCACGCTCGGCTCGATCCATTCGCCTACTTTAGTCAGTTTTACCCTATACTTTACTTGTGGCTATTACCATCACCTACTATACTGTAGCTATTGTAAATTACATCTATTTTCTATTAGCGAATGAATAACTTACAACTAAATTAAATACCTGTGTGGCTGCCATGGGATGTTTTCCCACCACATCAATTTGCTGCGCAACACAACCTCTGTCGTTCTGATCCACAACAAAGTGAACTCTGTCGCCAATACTTAATTGTTCGAAGGGATACCCTCTCAAATTTGAATCGTTAAAGTAAATTCCTTTAGGATTTCGCTCTCTGGGAAAATCTTTAGTAATGAAACCATAGCAACCCTTCAGCATACCAACGTAGCCCTCTTGTATTCCATGGCCAACCAAATGTTCCCAACCACAACTGCACTGTACTTGCTTCGTCTCGGGTAGCTGTAGATATAGAAATCAACTCGATGTTTTACCTGCAGTAAATCTGGCAAGTTAGTTATGAGGCTCCTAAACGTTTGAAAGATTTTCGTGCAAGGGACTGAATGCGCCTATTCAGTAGAGATAAGCAGTAGAGTCATATGCACTCTCATAAAGGCCAAGTCCATGTTATAGCTCAGTTGCCCAACAGGCCGGCACTTAACTCCGATTTCCGTAGAGGAGACCGACTATATGTCTTCTACTCCACACTGAATGGGATGTTAGTCCATCACAGAGTTACCCCTGCCATTTAATTCACCAGTACCCTGGAGTCATACACCTGGGTGGAGAGAAGTACTGTGAGAGTAAAGTGCCTTGCCCAAGAATACAAGACAATGAACACTTCCAGTAGAGCACGAACTCGGACCACTTGATCCGGAGTCCAGAGAGCTAGCCTTTAGGCCAATGCAGCTCCAGCTACTGAAATCCAACTCCAATTTCCAGTTATAATTACCGCTACATGTTTTTCGATTTATTCCATCAATTTCCTAGCCCACGATCGCGGATGAAATCACTTTTAGTCCACTTTGAAGGGAAGTAAAAGAGAGAGGGAGTTAAAAGTTCCGTTTCGTCATCGAAACTCTGGTATCGAAAAGTGTATAAACGAGATCATTAGCCGGCTAACTCAGGGCAAAATAACTCGCGTGCCTTGTTCGTGAATATGTCAGTAAATGAAGGCAAAGCTTTTACCTTAATAAAGAGGTCCTTTGCGAAGAAGCCACGCTCATTCTTATCCACACTGAACTGAACTATTGTATTCATGCGGATGTTACCGGTTTCTCTTTTTTCTATACCAGACAGCAATTCTTGAAAAAACAACCGCTCCAGAGTAGACGGTACTGCAATATACCCATGAACTGATCTATAGTTTGGCGGAGTTTTTAGTTCGCATACGTGACCCTCCTGACGAGATCCCATTTGATAGAAGTCCTCTAGTGTCGTTGGCATCGCGACTGTCCTTACTGCCCTATAATGCAGGATGAGATAAAGTGGTCGTATGTTATATCTCTAAGGAAGTTCCCTCACGCACCTCATCTCCCTCTGCTTGGGTTGAGTTTATAGGGATCTAGATGACATAGAGAATGTATTAATTTTACCACTTGAAAGTAACAAAAAGGAGGAATAGAGGTGACCCCTCTTGGCCAGATTTTTAGCCCACCACTTTAAAATGCTTCTATCTGGGATGAAAGTAATTGAACGATACTGAGAGTGCGAGCAACATTTGATAGCTGTCCTCGTTTGTAAGGGCGTCAACTCTCTTCTACTGCGGACTTGTTGTAGGGACTAGCACCGGGCCAAGATCCCTCTTTTGTGGTGACCTTAAAGATTCAAACAAACTACGTACTACAAGTGGTTAAATCGAAATCCTTTGTTACTGTCCGCCAACATGACAGCAATGATGTCACGTGCAAATTAAGACTAGGGCCACTCTTTCATACATGCAGATTGAACGGGAAATCCGACGCAGAAGGGGCACTTGCCCCTTTCACGATGTGAGCAAGCCCTCAGCATTGCGTTTTAAGCATATTTAAGAAAAACGATATGATTGTCTACGTTGTATGATTTGGAATGTTTACACTCTTCGGAATCCCTTGCAAGCAATGCTGAATGCGGTATAAACTGTAGTATTAGAAAATAAATCATTGGATAATGCAATTCAAGAGTTTTCATTGGCTTAGCCATCATGGTATATATAAACAATAGCCTCACTTTGGCGCGAACATATGCTCGGATATTTGTCCGCGGACATATTATCTGTTCCGAGAAGCGAAATCTGTAAGCTTTGATGAACAGATAATGTCCAAGTACAAATATCAAAAATTTTCGCTCGCGCGCGATTGGTCTAAACGTAGCACGTATTAGTAACTCTAGCGGGGTGAATATATAGAGGATATTACACCGTGTAATATCCTCTATATATTCACCCCGCTAGAGTTACTGAGCTCGCCATCTTTGCCATCTCGGCAAGTAAGCATGGCAGACAGTTGCTGAATGAAGTTTTCATTTATTCGAAAGACATCACTCCAAGTCCAGGATATTTGAAAGGGTGGAGAATTTTCAAAATGACTGCTGTCGCCCTTGGACCAAAAATCGTTTGAAGAACTCGTATTCAAAGCTTCTCGTAAACGCAGTGGTTGCTTTAATCTACAGCAGGTCAGATCGATTGACCGAAATTTATTTTTCTTCAAACTAAAGCTACTCATTTTTAGGCGATGATGACAACTGTGAATGAAGTGAACAACGACAAAACAAAGGTACCAGATGAATTTATTTTTCGTAGAGTTTCGCTCGATGAGTAAATTGATTCACAATCGATGTACATGTAAGCTTATTATTAAAACAACGGCTGCATGTGTATGCACACACGAACAAATGCGTTTGGTTTTTATGTTTTAGACCGTTACTTTGTAGTCCTTGATATTCACCTCTGAAAATTATACTATAACAATTTTTCGCCTCAGGCTCCTCAAAGCTCCCTGTTTACTTCTCGGAACAGATAATGTCCGCGGACAAATATCCGAGCATGTTTCCGCGACAAGAGGAGGCTATTGTTTATTTATACCATACTCGGCAAATATGGTAAGCGTACGCGTAATGTTTGGGGCGTTTTTCCTTTTATTTCATTTTTGTTGTCTATATTTTGGGGGTGATTTTAAAACATTTATTGCACTCGCGCTTGTCATATCATATGCAACGCACGTTCGTGGAAAAATTGTTAATTGCAACGTACCGCCGAGGAGCCGCAGATGCGTTCGAGGCCTTTTTCTTCTCTTCTGCCTTCTTCTCTTCTTCTCGGAATTGCTCACGACATTCTCTCAACTGTGAGTCTATGTTTTCCTCCTTCTACAAAATAATATAAGAAAAATGATAACCTAAAGATGTACGCACGTTGCCAAATGCCTATTAATTATTAATGTCCTGTGTGTGGTGGTAAAATACTAAGACCTGGTTCACACGCCCAAGCGTTTAACTCCAGCTTCTGTGGCATGAAGCGGCTAGGAGTACTACAGGTTATTCTAAAGCAAATATAACACGCGGATTCTTTCGATTAGATGCAAAGTTGTCACCGCGAAATGGTTTCAGCTCGTGATGACACGACAATACAATCCTAGACTACGCTAAAAGACTGAGCCTATCGTATCAGGCCTCGCACCTTCCTTGAGCAATGGAGCAAACACTGGCAGAGAGATATGCGTTTTGTCGTGAACATATCGCCTTTATTTTGCCTCCGCGCATGTTTTAGTATCTGCCATGCAAATTGGCAATCTTTCTCTTTCCGTTTTAGTACGAGGGGGACAAAGAATGTTACCGAAACATATAAAAAACGTTTTGCATTTGTATTTTGTTGCGGCCTACATTTTAGACAGAATGTATCTACTCGAAGTAACCCTTATCCTGTATTTACTGAAATTATCAGCGGTTAATGGGTAACTCTATCCAACAATTAGCCAATACCCATTTCAAACCCCGCGTGTTACCGTAAGGAGTCTTGATTTGTTAATATGAGAGGTGTGGTTTCATTGCAAACATGCAGTTATATTATTTAGTCTCTGTGTAGAACTGGGGCACAGTTTTCGTGCAATCAACGTACAATTAATAAAGATAAAACCAAAACATAGCATACCACTGTTTTGATATTCATTGCCCTGGGTCCTCTCTCACTTTTTCCAACCGTAAAGGAGACCACGGAGTAAATCTCGATGGAACTAAGGTTGTCAACAGGAGGAACGATTTGCTTGGCGTGAAAGTAGAGACGGTCTTTAAAATTTGGGTGATGGATCCATCCATAACCGTAATAGGGTTTTACTTGAAAAATGATTCCTTGTTTCTCACTGTCCATGTAGTGGCTCCATTGACTCGAGGACTCGTTCTCATCGCCGACTTCGAAGTTCTGTTCGGGTCTCACTATTTGCGTGTGGAGAGATTCTCCAACCAAGGGTAAAAGATCCTCTTCATCACCCTTGTCACTCGTGTCGCTTTCACTATCATCTTCCTCTGGGAAACTAATCGCGGACCGTGCAACTGCTTTTTGGACTTTCACCTCTCCTGGCGGGCAAACGACATACCAGGCGCATGGACCGGTCCAGTGGAACGCTAGGCGAAACTCTACTTCATCTCCCTCATTTGGCATTAAGCGCTGGACATTGACGGGTACAAAGGGCACGTTAATGTGTTTTTTTAAACTTATGACTCCTTTCCAGTCAGATGATATCTCACTGACAACTCCTTTCCATTTACGTATGTTCTTTTCAAACAATGCCTTTTCAATTATCTCTTTGCCAGCTCTCTTTTGATGCTGAAGAGTTTTCCCTTTGAGATATTCCCTGACTAAATCTTCATGATACAGCAATGAATCCAATGAGTTGATATGAAGGCCCTCTTTTGGATGGAGCCACTCAACTGGGAGAGAGACGTGCTGTGAAACCCCCTCGGACTTTGGCGACTTTCTTTTCCTTAGCAATTCTGTCACACATTCAGAGGCTCTTTTCATTTTCTCCGTGTCATTAGGGTCACTTAGTGCTTCCAAAGTTGCTACAACATAGCTGAAACATATAGAGTGAATGAAATGTATACATTCTTCTCTCACAATTTTAATCTCCTAGAAGCCAATAACTTCAAGCAATGCAAGTATTGAAATCGAGAACTCTGCTTCTAATCATTTAATTACACTGTTCACAGTCCCCTATTTTTCCGTGAGATCGTAGATGTCGATCGTTGAGTTCGACGGGCCGCCATCTTGGTCTCTTGATGCGAGCGAAACTGGGGAGAGTACAAAATGCCCGTGGGTAGGGGTGGTGGAGGGCGCGGCGGGCGGAAAAAATATTTTTTTCGCCCCTTCACCCCCACGCTATTAACCCCACCGCCACTACCCACGGGCATTTTGTACTCTCTCCAGTTTCGCTCTCATCAAGAGACCAAGATGGCGGCCAGTCGAACTCAACGATCGACATCTACGATCTCACGGAAAAATAGGGGGCTGTGAACAGTCTATCATTTAATGCGGCGGCACGCTCATTTAGGATGAGAACTTAGACACAAAATCGCATTTTCCTAAGAGCTTGAAACATCACCGCAAATTAACCATGCAAACGGCGATCTGTCATTAAAATGCAATAATAAAATCATTCCGCCACTACGCAATATCTCTTACAAGGAATCGATGTTCAAAATGTTGCTAATCGGATTTTACTGATAAGCGAGGAAGAGTCCTACACGACCTCATATACTAATGAAGCAGTCTAATCACTAACCTCATTAACAATATACAATAACTATTTATCATGCTGAAGTTTATGAATTTTGTCACAGCATTAAGTACTTTGTAATATCGCTTACTTGTAAAACAGAGCGTTTGGTGATCTCCTTCCAGTATCCTTCAACCACCTGTCAATTTTGATGCGAACTGATTTTAAACTCGGCACTTTTGAGCCAAGTCTCACATATCTGATCCAGTTTTTCATGGACTCCTCGTCCAGTTCAGTTTTCTTCAACAATTCTTCCAGACTTTTAATTCTTTCGTCCGCTTCTTCTGGTTCAAGCTGTTTCCTTTCGACTTCCAGAGAGTAGACCAAAGACATTGTTTTGAGGGCAACAACATCTACCCAGTCTTCGTCATTAGAACCCTTTGTCGCTTTTTTGAGGTCTTCGCAGAGTAGTTTTAGCTCATCAAGGTCACCCAAATTGTCTAATAAACTTTCTTTCAGTTGTGCATTGTACTCGTTGATTTGCACTGCTCGTAGATTTGCAAACGACTCCGGTACTAAAGAGAGCATGTATTTGTTCTCTAGAGAAAAAGGAGTCAATGTTTCCGTCTCTTTTTTGTGCTTTACAAACACCCTCAGAAAGTCGACAAAATGAGAGCCGCCGACTGATTTAATGGCTGCAAGCATAACTACTTTCCTGACAAGAGCATCTGAGGAGTACCCGTGTTCCATCAGGGGTCGTTTCTCCTTCACAGTGACGAAACAGTCACAGCTATATATGGCGTAGCGAAGCACCTCGTCCAGAGAGAATTCCTCTTGGTCCTTTAGGTTTTGTATGTGAAGGCGAATTATGTCTCTATGAATGTGATGAAGTAGCACGTCGTCTTTGTTTTCTTTCACTGCTTCCTCAATAAGAGGAATAGCATTTTCAAAATCTTCGTACTGGCTCATGTAGTATTTAGCCAAGTGAGCCAAAAGGTGTGCCCACACACTGGAACCTTTTTCAAACACTTCGCTCAGCTCATGTAACATGTCACGCGCCACATAAAGGTCTTTATCTCTCATGCATCGTACAAGGGGTGAGAACTTCTCGCTTCCATACTCGCTGGTGACGTACAATCGTCTGGTTATGCGATCAATCCTCTTGTTGGGCCTCGGATCTGACAAGGCGCATTTTGCTAGGCGAAGGGCAACATCTTTCAAATATAGGGTGTCGCTCATCTCGCGCGTCTTTGCTTGCTGCTGGAGTAACTCTTCTGCAACTTCAACAAAGGAAATTCTTCTCACGTTTCTTCCAGCTGATGACGGCGGGCTTAACAACTCTCTCACATCATCGTTACAGAAAATTCTCTCCAGCATGACAACATCCGTATTTGCCAAACGTGCCAGGGCATTCACAGGAAACAGGAAGTCGGTGTAAACATGTGTGAGGGCTAGAAACTCTAAAATCTGAAGCTGCAACTCATTTGCCTGATGTAAGCGGTATCGCACGTAATTTGTTAAGCCTGTAAACTTTCTACCAAAAACCGTAAGGCTAAAAAAAGGAAATTTCCTTAACGTGGGGTCCCTTCTTACTCGTTCTTCAAGATCTTTTAACTTGTTCCTTTTGTCTTCAGAAATTTCCTTGATTTTGAGAAGCTGCTCTACCAACTGCGACACTTCATGTAAAGTCAGTTCGCGGCTCAGTTCAACTGTCTTGAAGGGTGTTGTCCCCACGAAATACGGAATAGGTTGCTTCTTCCTGGGTGATGCCCCTTGTTGACTGTACAGAAGGTCGGATTCAACAACAAGCAACTTCAGGTTTAGATTTCTTCTCCCTGCTTCGTTCTTGAAATCATTAAACTCTGGCAAATACGCCATCTCACTGTCAACAAAAAGTATGAGGGGAAGTCGAGAATGATGGTTTATTTTCTCGATGTTGGTTGCAAGACTGTCGTGAAATTCCAGTAAGCGGGCACATACGTACGTCTTGTGATATTCATAGAGAAGTTGGAAACACAGTGTTGTTGCACCAGCTCCTCTTTCAGCTTTTAGAATGGTCATGCAAATATGCGACCTTTTGTCGTTCAAAAACACCTTCAGTTCTTTTTTCAATTCTTTCATCTTTTCTCTCTCGATGGCAATTCCACAGGTAAGGCCAGTCTCATCTATTTCAGATCCAGAATAAAACTTAACTCTGACTTTGTCCTCGTCATCTGGCTTTGACTGAAAAGCAGTTCCGGTATTATAATACAAAATCTGTAAATGACCTTTAATCGTCTGTCGCATCGTTTGGGGCAATGTATCCGGAATTATTTTTTCACCTTCTGGGAGATAGAATTTCCTCGGAATTTGGAAGGCATCCTCTGAACGGTAGGGAGAGGGGAGTTCTGCTCCGACATGACGCGCCATTTCATGGGGTAGTGCAACAAAGACGTTATCCCGTTTAACTCCAAAGCCAGCTCTCCCTAGTGGTTCTACAAGTGCCGATAAGACTTCAGATTTCGTTGACGAGTTAGCGCAGACAAATACCACTTTAATGGGACCCCAGCAAGAAAACATGTACTGCAGTAGAAAATCCAGTGAAGGCAGAAGCTCTTTGTAGCCGTCATTCCATAGACAAAGCACAACCAACTGGTTTGGGTTAATGTGAGTAATAAGCTGATCTATAAGGTTTCTCATCTTGTGCCCATGAGTAAACATCCAAGAGGCATGTCCGTCGCTGGAAAGGGTTTTATCTATGTCTTCATAGCCTCTCACTGCACACCAACATACGCCATTTCTTGGATTTAAGTCTAGCCGTCGATCAAGCGGCGTTTTGACGAAAAGATTCCTTTCTACCTGATGACGGTCATGAAGAGGTTTAAAGGTATTTAAAAGGTGTCCCTCTTGGTTTGGAGCTTGGTCGAAATCTAGCACTAGTGCCCATTCGGGGACCACTATGCCGTACAAATCACGGCCCTGTCTTGGAAGACAAAATGGTGAACTAACCAGAACATATGACGTGTTTTCTGTCTCAAACCCGTTAACAACTTGAAAGAGTTTATCGGGCTCAAATTGATAAG